CTTGGATTTTGACGTAAACCCAATTTTTGATGGTGACTTTTCTTACACCTAGATGATGCAGCTAAACTCTAACATGGACGGTGGTACCTAGCTTACTGTTCAAGCTATCGTGCTCAGAAGATGGACGCCTGGATGGTACTTCCATGTCCCCTCCACACTGCGACGGGGGACAATGATGGAGGACAAATAAGTCCAGCCTTCCATCAGGAGTTGTGACGGCTCTGAGTTTGACACTCAGATCATTCGTTGTAGCATTTTATGTCAATCTTTGAAAACAGAACTACAATACTTACATTTTAAGAGTTTCATTGAAATCTGTACGGTGGTTTTTATTTTTTTATTTTAAGGTCAAGCTCATAAGTTCATCAGCTGAAGATGAACTGATTGAAATAATTACTTTTTGAAAGTTTTATTAAAATCTATCCTGCGCTTAATAAGATATTCTTCCAATGGTGCTGACAAACCCAGGGACGTTTAACCACTTCAGCTCTGGGTGACAGGAAGTGCTGCTTATGTTCAGACTTCTGTTCTGAACTGAGAAGGAGTGAGTGGACCTGAAGGAGCGTACCTCCCCCCACGCGGCCGCAGGAGGCTCCACCGGTGGGTAGTGTTTGGGCAGGTCCCAGGCCACCTCCTGCATGAACCACTTGAAGTTGTTGCAGTTCAGCCGGCTGCGCAGCTCCTTCTGCGTCATCGTGTCTCCTGCAGAGATGTGGCGGTACTCGGGCCGGCGCTGGTAGATGTACTCGGCGTACTCGTCCATCCAGACCTCTGCGACCCGCTTCAGGTTCTGAAAGCAAACATGTTCACGTTGCATGACGTCAGTGATGGTTGATGGGAGGATCAGAGCATCATATCCTGACCGAAACAAAAACGACTCCATCTCTCGTACGTCCACAACGACAAAACGATCAAAGCCTGAGTAAGAGGGGGTCGGTCGTGTTCATCCTGTCATCGTTCCCCGACACGAGTTGTTGTCATGAAGTGAATCTTCTCCAGACACACAGAGCAGGACGCAGAAAAGACTCAGTCGTCGTGTTTCTCTTTCAATCTGCAGCTCCTGGCGCTGCGATGCATCACTTCTATGAGTTCAACGTGATTTGAAAGTATTCGCTGTGACGAATGTTTATTAAGAGACTAATAACTAAAACGATCATTAAAATAAAAACAGCCAACCTGGTGAAAAGGAAACCTCAGCTGAATCAGGCTGCTCTGCAGAGGTCAGCACCGAGTGGAAGGTTCACCAGATCCTGACGCAGCCTGGGCTCAACGTACCGCAGTAAACTTTACTATTAAGTAACTTTACGATGAAAATGTGCAGATTTTCATCAGTTTTATTAATACTGTCATCTGAATGGTTCCTGTTAAAGATGTTTGCTGAATAATTCCAGCTCTAAAGACTGAAACAGTTTCAAAGACAAATCCTGGATGAACGGTTCAGTTTCTACACGAATGTTCCAACCAGGACCGCTCGGAGGCCGCAGTCCGGCTGGACGGCCATGTTCCCGCTAAACACCTTAGATCTTAGCGCTCTTTGCTAACGAGTCATCGGCGCAGGCTACAGGGTGATGCTGTGAACTCTGATGAACATGATGTTTAAAGCTGATGCACAAGGACTTCCAGTCTGGTTTGGAAACGTGAGTCTTGATTCGTCTCCAAAGGACCTCTGGCTGCTTCAGACGTGGTTTCATCCTGTTACATCTTGGTGCTGATGCTGCGTACGCAGACTGAAACATCAGGATCACAGGCTCAGCTTGTAACAGCTTCATGTTCTACATATTTAATTGATGCTAAAGCTCTAGTTGTTTTGTTTTAAATAAAAATAAAAGTGCATGAACCAGAGCGACACCTCGTCCTCAAACAAAACTACAGCGTTTGTAAAATCTTCTGCGGGGCTCGTTCCAAACGAAGCTGAAATCAGAACATCTGTCGTCATAAACACGATGAGAACAGGACAAATGTTCGCAGCTTTGATGAAAATCAGAATCGAACACGGACGACTCCAACAGGACTGGCTTCATGCACGCAGGTGAAGACTGTGCACGTGTTCAATCACAGATTCACCCGTTTGAAGCTTTTGAGGAGTGAAGGCTGGAAAACAAGAGGCTGTCGGTTCCTGAAGTCTGTTCATGTCCCTGAGAAGACGTTGGTGCTCAGAGGTTGGAATGATGGGAGGAACAAGAATCCAGGCTCAGCAGCGCGCCCAGAAAAAAAACAAGAATAAAAACGTCTCCTGCAGCCTGGGAGGAACAGATGTAGAGGAGGAAGCTTCCAGCCACACGTCCCTGCGGCAGCGCTCATCGCCTGCAGCCAAACTGCAGCTCTGCAGCCTTCAGGTGAGTCTGAGGCACGGCTCGGATCCTCCTGATCCCCCTGCAGGCCGACCGCGTGCTCAGATCCTCTGACGGTCTGTTGGAGGAACACTCTGCACCTGCTGAACAAAACGACTGCTTTTCCTCTGCAGATTTTATTCTTGGGGAATTTCTTTATTTTACTTCAGCGTGAAACGATTGTGCTAAAAGAGAAAAGTACGGAGGAGAAGACAAACCTTGTTTTGCTCAGGAGAGACACTGGTCACGGCTTGAAGAGTCTTCTCTCGCATGACAAATAAATTAAACTGTGACTCTCCTAAAGAGTGCTGAGTGAGTCATCCATGTCCAAAACAATGATGGGGCGGAGTCAAGAGAATCTGAGGTTAACTGCCTCTAAACCAGGGGTGTCCAACACATTGACCATGATCTACAGGTCCATCTCAAAGGGATTCTGGGTAGATGCATTAAAAAACAGACGTCAGATGATCATCATCTATGAAATGTGTCTCTTGATTGACAGACAGAGCAGCCAGTCTGAGGCCCCGTTTACACGACGTGAAACATTCGATCATTTCCAGACAACATCCTCATCCTCTCTAAACTGAAGGTTTCTGAGTCCAAACTTCTCCAAACTGTTCCAAACTGTTCCAAACTGCTCCAAACTTCTCCAAACTGTTCCAAACTGCTCCAAACTGCTCCAAACTGTTCCAAACTGCTCCAAACTTCTCCAAACTGTTCCAAACTGCTCCAAACTGCTCCAAACTGTTCCAAGCTACTCCAAACTGTTCCAAACTTCTCCAAACTGTTCCAAACTGTTCCAAACTGTTCCAAACTGCTCCAAACTGCTCCAAACTGCTCCAAACTGCTCCAAACTGCTCCAAACTG